GTTACTGAGAAAAACTGCAACTATCCATATCATTTATAAATTCATCTTGTATAATCATGTTTATACCATAAATGAAATTACTTAGAATAGCTAGGTAAGATTCCAGTTAACTGTCCATAATTGTTAAATAATCATACAAACAATGCAACCTGATTCTTGTAAAGTGAAACCATGCACCATTTCAACAAATTCACAAAAATTGCTTTTATGAAAACTATCATAAGACTTATCATGCACTTTGTATGCAAACCCTTGTCCAGACAATAAATTCAATCAACATTTTTATAATTTCACCATACCCCTTCATTATAAGCTTGAATATGCAACATGTCTGCATAATTTGTAAATGAATGTACACAAGGTGCAATACTGTAACAATTGCATGTCCAACGTCTTTAGCAATGTCGATTCAGACATATATTGTGCGATGTTGCAATGTCGTACTTTTCTAATGTGGGACTGTCTGCGTCCAAGATGTTGAAGTACCACAAATATACGAAACACGGCAAACAAAACATAACTTGCTTTGAAAAGTACAATAGGGTCAATCTTTCCTCGGAAGAAATGATAGCAACTGCAAGGAGTTCAATTTCTAGCAAGTATAGAACTATACAATATATCACCAAAATGTTTGGGCTTTAAATAATTCATTGTTCGGCAGTTTGGAGAAAAGATCGTCTTTCATGAAGTCATAGCTGTAAATTTCGCCTCAACTTCTGTAAATCTTAAGTTACTAGCGTGAGTCTGTGAATCCGTTACAAACATAATAAGTATACTTTGTTTTTGCCGATTTTTAATGTCGAAGGCTCAAGTCAGGCTCTATAAAATGAGCGTGACTATATGCTCCACATCTGCGAGTTTGAGCATGCTCAGATGTCATTAGCCAATTAGATTTGGAATATTTTTTCTATAAAATATTTTTTATGGTCGGGCCAGTGAACTCCATATATATATATATATATATATATATATATTTTGGTAACCCAGGCATATTATGATAATGATAAGGATTCTCTGGATTTGTTTTAAATTTTTATTAAGCTTTCAACTCGGTGCTTCGAGCCTTCGTCAGAATGTGACAATATATTATTTACAAAGATTTTTGTAGGCGTTTGGAGCGTCTGATTGGTTGGTTGGTAGTTGAGTTGATATTATTGGATGGTATAAGATGCGTTGTCATGGTTTCGGGTGTATCGATTACGTTAATGAAATTCGAGTGTTTTATTTTAGTCGTTGTGTTATTAGTTTGTTGTTTTGGTTTTGTCTTTAGTTGTGAATAGATGATGGGGATGTCAATATGTCTGTTAATTGTGTTGTTGTCTTTGCTGTACCATGCCTCTTTGAATTCTCGTGCGTGTTTTGTCTGTGCGCGTCCAAGAAGTTGTGTTTTTGTCCAGTCAAAAGTGTGGTTGGTATCGTAGGTATGTTCTGCTGGTAGTGATTTTGGGTCGCGTCGTTTGATGGCATTCAGGTGATGTTCTGCTGGTAGTGATTTTGGGTCGCGTCGTTTGATACCATCCAATAATAACTCAACTACATCACTTCGAAATTGCCGGATTTTTTGCAAAAAACAGTGGTCTTCGAGCCAGCTTAATGTCTAAAAACCTTAAACAATGTTTGGACTTTAATATAAAACAAGTTTGAACGACATTTGTACATGTTTAAGCTTCTTTTTAGAAGGATGAAAAGCAAACTTTGTTTTGGCACGTGAAAACATGCCTTATAACTTGAATACAAAACTGACACCCCTCGTTTTTTTTCATTAAAAGGATGTAAAATACACTTGTCTATCCTTATAATATTGTTTGAATCTTTGAAAATGAAGCTGTCAGGGCAAAAAACGCTGTTTTTCGGTAATTTTTGTGTTTCCGAGCAAAATTAGCTCGCCCCAGTCCTTTTTGAAAGTGAAGAGCGTAAACAAAAAGAAAATAACTTTACAAAATATTTAAAAAAGTTAGCAAAAAAATATTTTGAGTTCGTTTTAAAAAACTGTTATGCCATATTATTGTGTTATTATTAATTGCACCATTAAAGAGTCAAAAAGTTCAATACCCACTTAAAAAAAGACAAAAACACAAATGACACTCCATATTCATAACTTTTGAAACACTTAAGTAAGAATTGTAATGTAATACAAGTATGAAATAGATTATTAGTCTAATATTATAGAATCATATATATTTTCACAAATATGACATAGATAACTGGGTTTTTGAATTTGGTATCCTTGCTTATCATCTAGTATCCATATATGGATTACATAACTAGTTGGCTTTTCTTATTCCTTGGTCAGATAGAACATAACCTGTGGCTTACTCTTATAAGTTCATGATGAATGTTAAAGTTCCTTTTTCCATTTAATGAATCCAAATAAGGGACCAGTAAAAACATTAATTGCTCTCCGTTTTTATAAAAAATGTCGTATCCCATAAAGATACAGGTAAAATATTCTTGCTATACAAATAAATAGTTTTTATTATCTTGTGGACATCGCGATACTGTCTGTCAGTTGGTAAGTCACTCAGTCATTCAGTCAGTTGGTAAGTCAGTCAGTCAGTCAGTCAGTTTGTAATTCAGTCAGTCCGTCAGTCAGTCAGACAGCAGAATGAGTCAAATGATAATCTAAATTTTTACTGGAACAATGAGGCTTAAAAGCTTATTTCGAAGTATAAGTCAAGTCTAAATGACTAAATATTAATAAATCTCAATAAATGTTAAATTACCAGCCATTCTTCTCATCTGCTCAATCATGAAAAGATGCAAATAAACAAAATATGTGGTAGACTGTAGAAAGTGTAATCATTTCATGTTTGGTTAAATCCAAAATTACGTCAAACACGAAAATTAAAACTTCTTACAGAAAAAAACGTTTTCTATCACCTTATTTTTGGCCAAAACACTTGTCTTGATAAGTTTTGTTTGCTTGTTTAGCTTAAAAGATTAAGTAAATTAAGATTAGGGTTTGAATTAGTGATCAATTAATGTCATTTATGTTTGTTACTTGATGTTACTACACATGAAACTATTACCAATAAATCCCTGACATTTTAGGAGCTCTCCGCATCCACATCAAATCAGGACAAAGTACTTGATTGTTGGGCGAATCGAAAATTCCGCATTTTCTTCTTAAGATAAATTACGTGCTTATTACTGTATTTAAGATGTGAACGTCTTAAATGAAAATGTTCCCGTGTTTTTTTTTGTTTTTAATGAAACATTTGGTAAAAAATTTTCATAAAAAAGGAACATAGAGAGGCGACTCCCCCCCTTCGTCTCCTCTTACTGTCAACCACTGCTCAGTCACTCAGTGTGATTTATTTTTAGATACATAATTAATGCGGGTGAAAATACATTAAGGAATTTTCGCATGGGTGGATTACCATCAAAGGGACTTGAGAAGATGTTCATGACTGGCTCTACAATCAATCACATTGGTGGTCTGACGAACATGCTTCTAGCTACGCAAACTGATAGCTTTTCGGTCGATAAACTTGTCGATGTCTATGGTCCACCGAATTTGGATGCATTCTTACAAACAATACAGAACTCTTTTCAGTACATGAGTAAGTTCGAGTTTGTAAAACTTCACCAGATTGAGGAACGAATAAAGTGGCTGGAAATTGCGAGTGATGGTAATTTTCAAATTTTCGCCTTTGCTACAAGCGATGGTTCGCAAGAGAACGGTCGGACGATTTTCCCAAATCTTGCCGTTTCTTACGCGTTTTTATTACAAGAACCGCTACGAAGAGTTCGCATGGATGTAACAGAAAATCTTGGCCTGGCGCAGGAAATTTTGAGAAACGTTATAGAAAAGTGTCAAATGGGATATTCTGTTGATTTACATTGTGGAACACAGGTGAGTTAACTATCCAATTTTAAACTTAGTGTATCATTTATTTGAACTTTACTTGAACTTGATAAATGGAAAGTTTTGCAGGAACTCTCAGCAGGAAGTAGCTACATGTTGTGGATTTGTGCAATGTTTGAGTTACCATGTTTTAGGTTTTAGTTTTCCAGAGAAAGGCTGGTTGAAGCCTGGATAGCCTGTCGACTGGATAGTGGCTTTTTAAGCCTAATAAAAAGTTGGTTGTATTTTCTTCGCGAAAATTCAACTTTTTTAATTTTTTTAATCTATTAGTTGCGAATCATCGTTTTTTTCTCTTAAAGAGATTTTTGAGAGATTTATAACGTTCCGAAAAAAAACATTACCATATACATGCTAGCCTATCCAGTTCTCATGTAACCTGCTCACAAAGAATGCTAAATCCTTAACCCTATACGTACTTCCTAAGTTTTTTAATCCTTTGAGTTTTGTATGGTTTCCTTGATGTTGCCATAAGGCAACACTGGGAGACAAAGGGTTAATCAGGACAAAGATTAGCAACTGTTGTTAATCTCAACTATCTACGCATATATTCTGTAACTCTAAAGCAGGGGTCTCCAAACTACGGCCAGCGGGCCAGATGCGGCCCGTTGGGCTTCTCAATCCGGCCCGCAGAGGCACTTCAGAAAAAAATAATAATATTATTAAACAAAATAAACTTTGTGCAGAAAGTTCACGTTATGTCGCAAGCCAACTAGCAAGAGTGGCTTACGTCAATTTTTCTCCCAACTTCCTACTTCTGTTTCAAGCACACTGCGAAATTTAAAAAGCTGAAGGAGAACGTGGAAATTTTTTATATTCTTCGGCCCTCAACATGCTGGATGAAAGTTCATGCGGCTCTCTGGCTGTAAAGTTTGGAGACCCCTGCTCTAAAGGGATCGGACTATTTCAAAGTTGACTTTTAAAGAAATTATGTGCTTTTAGCCAATAATGCTGCAGGTTGATTAAAATTGTTTGAATATACAAGTATAAATTCTTGCAAAAATAATTTATATTGGGTGAATTGACGTATTTAATTTTTGTGCTAAAGGGTTTTTTGTGCTCTGTTTAGATCAATCCAGATGACATTCTTCATCCGACGCCACGTCGACAATCATTTGTTGTCATAGATTGTCCATCAAAACATGTCCTGAAAAATTATCTTCTTTCATGTCACGTGATTTCTTCTCAAGTGATTTGCACACTCACGTGGACATAGTAATTCACATGACCGGAAAAGATATAGCAAATTCCATGGAATACAAATCTTGGATGACAACGTTTGACCCAGAAACGAAACATCTTATGATGAATGAGCACGTGATTGAAAGACCAGCTTTCACCGTCTTTGATGAAGTTTATGATAGGTTAAATAAACTTCACGTGAACATTTTCCCGCCGCTGTACTATTCATTGTTTATGGATGAAATTCACTCTGGTTTTAAAGATTTTCCTGAGGGTTCTGTCCATTTTGCTGCTCCGACTTTGAGGTATAATTTTCGGCCAATAGCCTTTGAAGGCTTTGAACAAAACTTGGTGGCTGTAAAAGCTGTAAATGAAAAAGAATCGTCGGCAAATGGAAGTCGTTCAAATGTGTTCGCAAGCTCTACGTTGAGCAACGATTTTCAGGTTGTTTTCCTTGGAACTGGTTCACGTATTTCATCAAATCTTCGCAACACTAGCGGGATTTTGTTGAATTTGAGGTAAGGGAAAATCCTTAACTCAGTAAACAAGTTTACTTCAAACAATCTTAGCTTTATATAAATTACATGTGATGGACATAAGACACAGAGGACCACTTTAGGTGATAGTAAGAGCTACGGTATCTCGTTGCAAATGCATCGAAAAAGAATGGTTGCAGTTAAGAAAGGATTTCATACTTGCAACATGAAATAGTGAGCCTATTGTACTGAAATATTTTGATGGATTGCTAGATTTTTCATGGTGTCTGGTACTGTATTGTTAACATTGACGTAGCCAGATCGGAAATTTTGTTATGCTATGTAAAGTTATATGTGTTTCTTACTAAGAAAATGATGTAATCTAAAATTTACATAACACGACCAAATTTATACGCTGGCTATACCATTGACTGTACATATGTAAACAGGGCAAGTGAGCAGTGAACTCTCCGACGTTTCGCTGTTCCTTTACTTTACTGAAAATATTGTTTATGCAACTTTGGCATCACTGTTTCGTTATTACATAGTGATGAAACGTCCATTTTAATGGACTGTGGCGAAGGGACGTTAAGACAGATGTTTTATCATTACGGAGACGATGTGAACACGATGCTAAAGCGAATCCGTACCGTGTTTGTCTCCCATATGCATATTGACCACCATTTGGTAGGTTCGTACTTGTATATTATTGCTCGTATTAGTTTTACAATACTCCTACATAACACGTTGGCTCAATTTTTTTCACCTAAGATACGTAAAACGAAGTCTGTAAAAATCATTTTCTTCAATCGAAACCAATTTTAGACAAACCATCTTGATTGTTTAAAACCAGTCTATGGTTAGTCCACTGTCCAAATAAGTTCATTGTTGGTATCGTAATTTTAAATCTAAATGCCATAGAAACTCTGTTAATTGTCAGTTTTCAAAGAATCAAATTTTACAAATCAAATGTGTTTTAGGTATTTTTGCTGAGCTCCAATCTCTAACCTGTTCTAATATATGTTCATTACTGACGCAATCAATATCTTTAATTGTCATTTATGCATGTTAAACAATGAATACTTATCATAAATTATCAATTTTTAGGGTCTTGTCAATATTTTACGACATCGTAAGAAGATTATGGTGAGCTTGCAGGAATGACTTTACAGCGTTACATGTCTTCTTTTTATTTTGCAATAGTTTTTCGCCAAACTTTGCTGTTATAATAATTGCAAAATTACCTTTGTGTGTTGTAACGTTTGATATTTTCTGGTACTTTAGAAGGTAAATTGTGTCATATCTAGGGTGATTCAAGTTTCGTAAGAATCATTGGTCCAGAAACTTTGGATTTATACTTAAGATATTTCCAAATGCTGTGTGGTGAAACTTTCAACTTCAGGTGAAAATTCTATATGTTAAAATTTTTTTGTGGGGTTTTTTCATTTCTTTTCATAAGTTAGCACTAATGACATTTGACTTTGTGTCACTTCCGTAGCCACCTCGATAATTGGGGGACCAATTTTCGTATTATCCTGTTCTTCTTTGAAATCAATTCCTTTCTGCGGATGTTAACATGCATATATGAATAGCCTCCTTCTCTATTACGAGGCTAACTATGGCATTGATTTGTGTAGATAATAGTATAGTTTCAAGTGCAATTACGTATAAACATGCACGGGTGAGTATTTTAAAGACTGCTGCGCAATAGCGTGAGTCCGAAGAACGATTAAAAACAATATACTCTGAGTTATTTTTTGCATGTACCGTCCAACTCTATCTTGTTTCGTTACTCTCTATAGCTTCAGGTAAGCTTCGTTCTACGGTCTAACTGTTAAAAACATTCCCACGAAAACAGTACTTGCTCCTTTGTTTTTATTCTTTGCATTCTTTTGTAATTCTTGAATTTCAAACGATTGCAATTGTGGAAATCTTTGTTTACTTACAACTACCGCCATGTATTTTTTTGAATTAAAAAAAATTTGTTTGGCTTTCATTGTTTTTCAGCCAATCAGGTTACAGTATTTACGGTGCAACTATACTTTTCTACTGGGCAATTACAAATAAACTGCATTGCAATCAACCAACCACAGTGGAGAAATATCTCATACTATATTATTAGTAGTTTGTTTGGGCCTGGTTCTATTAGCGAAATTTCTTAACGAAATTCGTGCATTTTTGTGCATGTGTTCTAGAATGACTAACTTATAGCAACCTTGTTGTTTAGTCGCTCACAATGTTTGTTTTTTAGGTTCACTCAGTTTTGGTGGGTGAAAAGAGGATTAGGGAAGAAAGAAGGCAAACAATTTAGTCGCTCTTTGGGATTTTCTTCTGTAAGTTGATAAATATCTAAACACCATATATATTTGAATATTCGTTAAAAAGTACTTGAGGTTTGATTGACTTTGGCGTACCACACAATACAGAATTTGAGTTAACTATTTTTTGCAGATTTCTGTTGTCCCTACGAAACACAGTGATTACTCTCATGGTTTGGTACTTGAACGCAATGGATGGAAGATCGCTTATTCTGCTGACACAAGACCTTGTAAACAGTTAATGGATGCCGGTTAGGAGAAACGGACAAATCTATTCTCTTTTTAGTTCGCTATTTCTCTACTGCATCATTTTTTTCACGAATTACGAAAGGAAAAATTTATTGTGGTGATATGGCCTTATCGAAATATTGCCCAATCACATTAAGTTGTTGCTTGTTTTATAAAGAGCAGTCGTTTAGTTAATAACAGGTTTAGATGCAGCAAAATATGTTTTGCTACTACTGGAGATGTCTTTTTAAGAACCTATAAAATGAAATCTGTTCTATGTCCGTCTCCCCTGTCCAGGAAATGAAGGCAACCTGTTTCACCCCTTGTTTGGGCTTTCGGCAAGAGCCATCGTGAATAGCGAAATCTTTACGCAAACACTGAGCTTTTTTGCTAACCTAAAAAAATTTATCGTATTTTCAATTATATAACATTATCTTTTTTTGCGAACGCGAATTTCAATGTGTCTTTCGTTAAATATATCGTAAAGGATTTGCGTCGGCAGTTTCCTTTCACGTTATCCGTCCTCTGAATATTTGGAAATTCTATTGGTTAACTCTTAAATAGTTCCTGAAGACATTTTTTTTTACCACAATCATTGGAAGAGATGTTTAATTTTTTGTTGCTATAGGTGAAAATGCGACATTACTCATTCACGAGGCTACATTCGATGATAAACTGCTTTACAGAGCGAAAGAAACTGCCCATTGGTAAGTCAAGTGAGGCAAACTATGTCTTGCTCTTTTTATGTTCAACTTGCTATTTCATTGTCCGTACTCCTGTTTGTAAAACTTTGTGTCTCTCTTATGTAGTACCGTATCTGAAGCAATCAAATGTAGTGAACTGATGAAAGCCGAGTACACGATTTTAACACACATCAGCAATCGACATATTTTCCCCTGTAAATCTTCAAGACTGCCTCATCACGTGAGCTTTGCTTTTGATCACATGACGGTATGTTTCATGTCGTGTTTCGATTGGGAAAAAGGTTGTAAAATTAAAGATTGTACTTGTCGAAATTACTGTTTTGCAAAGTATCTGCAAGCGTAGCGAATTTTGGTGTTTTTCAAAGGGATTTTATCGTTATAGGTTGAGCAAAAAGATCTTAGAAATATTCGTGGAATAATGGCAAATGTTGAGAGAAGCGTTGTATACCAATGGAAGAGAAAAAGAAAACAGAAGCAAGCTGTTAAATCAAAAGACTCTCCCATTATGGTGAATTCTTAGACTGGCGTAGCTACTTAACCGAACGAATGAATTCTTTGCATTCAAACTTACAGGCTTGCAAGTAATTTTTGAATTGAAATTACCTAACATTTAGTTTTATATAGCTAATCATGGCACTCCAGAAAACTTTTTTACATTGTCTGGACTCAGGGTGTCTCAAAGGGGGTAATTTTTATACTTTCTATTGACAGATAGATAGGCCGACCCCGACAACTGAAGCAGATTTTTGCGTGGGGTTTACGAAAAGCATGAACGAAACATTAACACTATACTTACAAAATTACGAGAAAGGAATTTAAGAGTTATCGAAACACTCGGCAAGTTTGAGAAAACGAGAAATTCGTTGGCGAAGTTTATTGATTTTAATTACATTTCCCGCGCACGCATGCAACTTTCAGATGTGACAACCAATCAGCGCCCGTGTTTATAAAATGCTATTTTATGAAGTGTTATATTTACTGACTGTCAAGCTCGTTTTAAATTCAGCTAACACTCTCTCGTCATAGCTTATAGCCAATGCTAGACAGCGTATGTCAGTGCATTTTGTTGCAATTTCGAGCGATTTAGTTTTTTTCTTGCATTGCATTTTTCAATTGCAATTTCACGTTAACCGTAAGATTTTGGGCACATATAGCAGTAATGGCGGGGAAATGCAAATCAACAACAACACGCCGTTTCCACTCTCGAGTCTCGAGTGTAAAAGCAAAAGCAACGTTATAGAAGAAAGCTTTATGGGTAATGTGTGAATATTGTTTAGGGTTATGTCCAGGCCTTCTAAATTTTAATTAAATCCAAGCTATGGCCACAGGATAGATATCTGAACAGAATGTTCACTCGTGTTGGAACCTTTGATGTTTATGTGCCCCGCTATTCTGAAGCAAATTCATAGCAGACACGCCTTCCAGCAAGATACTTCCGCTAGATCGCAATAGAAAATATAGATGTTCTTACAAAAATATCATTTTGCACTACCAAAGCTTGCAAACTTATCTTCTTTGCAAGATGATAATTATTTGTAAAAATTTCGGCATACGTTTGCTTTAAACGTGAGCCATGAGTGAAATAGCATTCTGGTGCAATACTATATCATATTGATTTTGTGAAAGTATCTTGTTGCGTGCGTAGTGAAAAAATATGCCACGATTTTAGCCGAGTGGACCTTTTGTTAGATGTCTATTCTGTACGATGAGCTTATTTAAAGTTTTAACTCGTATCCTTTGTCAGCAACTGGTGTCCGCTAAACTCCAAACTTCACTTGATACTTGACCAATGAGAAAACGGATATCGTGGCATTTCAATCGCCTGTTCACGGATGACAACTTGCGGCAAGTTACTTGCTCATGTTGCTTACTTATCTTCAGTCGCACACAGTCGCAAGTCGTGTTTTCGTTGTTTAATTTGTAAAAAATTACTTGTTGTTCAGTCTCAATAAATCGTGATTTATGTCAAAAATAGACATTTTAACCTCTTGCACTAAGGATGCTACAGAAAAACCGACTGTGCATCTTTTACCGTGCAAAATAGAGCACAATGGCGAGGCTGAAGTCGACGAATATTTTCAAAGTTGTATTAAGGACGATGGAAACGGAATGAAGAAAGGTTTGATGATTTGCATTAAATATTTCATTTTGAAAACTTCAGCTAGCGGAATGTTGACTTTCTTGAGCGCGTGGGTAGTCTGAGTGAAATAACTTCGCATCCCTTAACCCTCCCCACTAAACTAGCCGTGATTTGAAGGGGGGCAGGGGAAGTGCAAATTTCCCTGACATTTGAAGGGACAGCGAGACCCACAAACGAGCCACCAAAATCTACATCCAAACTAGACTGGCTAGACCAAACAACATCTTACAAAAACTAGAGCCTTCCCCCTCCCAACAAAATCATCCATAGTTCAGTTCCCCTTCTTTAGTAGTAAAGTTGCATGTTCATACGTACCTGCCCTAATCAATTTTTCTGTTAACAATCCATACATGTGATCCATACGTATGCTAGATGTAACCACATAGTTACCTTAAAATTTGAATGTCCTTTGTTGAATTGTTGTACCTACCAAAGCCATCATTAGAGAATATACATAATATTGATCCTAACACGGTTTTATATGCACATGTGACTGGATGAGATTGGAACTTGCCCCTTCAAAGATACTTGTCGGCTGCTCTACCTGTTGAGTTATCAAGCCCACAGTGATTCCAAGGCCATCATCAGAGAATATACATAAAGTCAAAACATGGTGCTATCCAGGAAAACTGCTATTGTGGTGAGAATCTCTTATCCATATACAGTTTAAAAGAAATTTTACTTGTCTCCAAACCCTGTGGGCATGGTAGCTCAACATGTTGATCGTCAGACTAATATCCAAAGGTGCGAGCTCAAATCTTGTCCAAGTCACATGTTTTTCATGTGTATATAAAACTGTGTTAGGATTAAGTATTTTGTACCTACCAAATGTGTAACTTTTGGTATGAAGTAGTTGGGAGGATGAAGTATGTAGGTTGCATTTGAATTTTCCAAAAAGTCAACTATCCTGAAAACACCCTCCTGCCCATTGAGTGAATATGTTTTTCCTAAAAAATCTGTTCACTTAAAATCTGCTCAAACCACTCCTCAGGATTCACCTCCCTGTAATATGTGTCTGTGTGTAGTGTTGCTTGGCCTAACCATTCCAGCTTAACTTGCTTTAATTTTTACTTAAAGTTTCATTTCGTGGCCGAATGTTAAAGGGTGAGATATTTGCTATACCAGATGGATACAGTGGTAAGATAATGTTGTTTAAACTGTATTGACATACTTGGTACCTTTTTATTATTGGCTTTGTTGTGTGTGTGAAAAAAATAACTTCATTCATTGTACCTTTTGGAACAGTTGCATATTACTGTACCATATAAACACATAAACATCAATGATCTTTATGTATGTTACTCATCAAGTGGCCTGTGTAGCTAGTCTCTGTTGCTCCTAATGTTGAGGCACAAATATAACATGCTTATATAAATATTGCTCTCTCCCCCGAATTATCGATCTTCTTGTTGTCTTGACTTTTACACTTTTGCCAATGACTTTTACTTAGTAGTTAACTTTTCAAGATCTGTCATCCTTTTTGGTTCACAGGAATGAAATGAATCTGTGTAAGTTTTTTATTTCAGGCTATCTTCTCAGGGAAAATCGTAAACCTGTCACTGATGACCAGGTGAGCCTTCAATTTTCGTTAACAATATATTTTGTCAAAACATTTCATTATTATAATTATAACTTTTTTATAAGTTTCACACAATGTGTGTTTGGTGTATCTTATAATTTTATTGCTTTTTAGCTAATACTGAAACTATTACAAAACTTAATTTTTAGGATAGATCTTTTCGAGCTATAAAAAGATTTTCTGAATTCACACATTGGAATCTTGAGGATAGGCCTTGTTTAAATGACAAGATCAGAAAGGCAATGCAATGGATTTACATTTCTTCAGCGGTGAGAACTTTCTATAACATTCATCTTCATCAATGTCCATTAATGTTGTAGAAACTTCAGAAACTTTATATGATGTCTGTCATTGATTCATGTTTAAATTGCTAGAGGTGTAGGTTATCAAATGCATAAAAAACATGTAGATCTATGCATAAAAAACATGTAGATCTTTTAGTTGTAATGTGTTGGTGTCGATTGTGTATTGTCATTGTGGATTAGTTTGAATTATAATGTTTTTAGTTGATTGTTTGTTTTGTATTGTGAATATGTCGTTTGTAAGGTGCCGGTATTTGCTGTGAACTGTTCTGGGTTTTTTTTTACTTGGAACGTGGAACAAACAACAAAAACAGTCCTTTTCAGAACTATACCAACCTGGACGATCTACATTTACAAACATGTAATGTCCATTAATGTTGTAGAAACTTCAGAAACTTTGTATGACGTCTGTCATTGATTCATGTTTAAATTGCTAGAGGTGGAGATTATCACATGCATGAAAAACATGTAGATCAATGGATAAGGATTATATGTGTGATATAGATGAGAAGCAAAGTTCGATTTGTGTTATTGTACACAGAACTGTGTTTGGCAGGGATTGTGTGCTGTCCTAGTTGATGTACTGGTACATTGATTTGTAGGCATGATGGGGTATAAGTTAGAGAGTAGTGTTGTGAGTTATTGTTCTGTAAGTTGTGTTTGGAAGAGTGGATCTGCTGTTCCAGTTGTATAAAAGGATGATATGATTAATGTACGTAGTGGAAGGAGCAGAGAGCTGTGTTTAGAAGAGAACTTGTGCTAGTATAAGTGATTTCAACTGTCCAACTGCTGTAATGATTGAGAAATATATTTCAAGTGCAACTTCACTTTCCAACATACTAAAATCAAATGTGATAATAGTGATTTACTTTAAGACTTCAGCCAATCAAAAGTAATTCTCCAAAATAAGATGTGTTTTTGCCAACATTTAGATTCATCAACCTGTGAAGACTGAAACTGTTATGGCAGAAATTACATGACAATGGCAACCCGCTTGTCTTATGTTCTGCTGAAAGCCTAACACACCATTCTTACGCGCATCACTGTCGACACATTTTCCCTGTACGCAAATCTTCGTGACTTCATCATCACGTGAAACGTTTCAATATTTTCACACCCAATAACATTATCTTTTTATTTGGGTTTAGCTGCTTAATAACCGTTTATAGAGTTAAATGAGTTTTCTCTGCAATGATGAAAGGTCTTAAAAAAGTAATCATTGAAATTAAACGGAACGATATCTTAGTTTAAGATGAAAATAAGCATTTTTCTTGCCGATGGCATAAGAGCATTTTCCTATATTTTTCAAAATTTAACGCTGTTCTTTATTCAAAACTTTAAAAAACGACAAACAGCAACGGCGAAAAACACGTTCCAGCGGTTAAGGAATATTCTCGAGTTACTTAATGTTGAGCACAAATAGTCTAGAGCAAACCAGCTTTGTTACAAAGTCTTTGGCGTGCGTTTATTATGGAATGTATTCGTAAGGCAAAAATCTTCCCCATTCAGTACAAAGTTTATCAAATTTCTTATTTGAAAATGGCGAATATCTTTGCAAACAGCTTGACTGTTCTCATCAAGCTTTAATAGCATGTCGTTAAACTGCCATTGCTCCAATTCTCAACAATATAGGCACTCATACCATTTACAGGTTAATGTCAACAAAATTTTTGAATAAGAAACTCGACTGTTTGACAGTTTTGCTAATTTCGATTTGTCAAGTTCATGTTTCTCTGCTCGTTATAATTATCGGTTAATAAATGTTTCTTTACTCACCAATGAAAACTGCTTAGTCTGCATGATGATTTTGTTGTCCTGCTGTGTACAGTGTGCTCTGATTTTCAATTCGAACAGTTCAAACATTTTAACTTTGTTTTCACATAAAAAACTCTGAAATTCTTATAGCATAATAATTAAAACGATTTTTTTGAAAACCCCTTTCCAAGTAGACATAATTACTGGGTCATATTTGCAAGTTTGCCGATAAAACAAAGATTTTGAATGAAAGTCACAAAACCTAGCAGCAATGCTACCAATATTTTCGTACAGTGAAAAAAGCAAAAATGTTTTTGATAGAAATAGTTAGCAACATCTGTGTTGAGAAAAAATTAATTAACTATCTAGAGCCCGTTGTTACACCACTGTAACAATTACCAATCAAAATGTGCACAAACTTTTGAAAAAGTCCAGGCTCTGTTGGGTTCAAGCCAATATGTTATGGAAGCAGCATGGAGATCAAGAACCAGAAAACAATATGAGGGAGTCCTATGAAAATGGAAATTGTACTGCGATTAAAGGGAAGCTAACCTGCTTTTGCCGTCCTAGGCAGAAGGTATAAATTTTCTGGAAGAACTGTTTCAGATAGGCATGGTGTGTAATGGATTAAACACGGCACGAAGTGTTCTCTCTGCAGTTGCTATCTGGAAAACAACTCATCATTTGGGTTGCACCTTTGTGTACGACGTTTTATTAAGGGTGTTTTTGAAACAAGACCAAGCCTACCAGAACACAAACATATTTGGGATGTACGTACTGTCATTGAATTTTTACTCTAACTTATGTGTAGCCCCTCAACCTAAAAAACTTAACATTAAAAGTATAACTATGCCTCTGGCTTTTATCTCTGCGCAAAGATGTCAAACGCTGAAACCACTGTCTTTTGATCATTTACAACTGGGAGCTGATGAGTGCATTTTATATTTGACTAAATTTCTGAAAACATCCAGATCTGGCAATCATCAGTCTCCTTTAGTGATAAAATCCTCCACCCCCCCAACGTTGAACTTTGTCCCGTCACAGTATTGAAAGAATATTTTAAAGAAACAAGGGACGTACGTGACAGCAAAAATACACAATTATTGATTATTTATTAAAAGCCGCATAAAGCCGTAACATCTAATAGTCTATCAAGATGGCTTAAAGACATCTTGAAAAGGGCTGTTATTACTGACTTCACGGGACACAGCACCAGAGCCACCTTGTCGGCAGCAAAACGGAGTAATGTCGATATTGCAACAGTCTTGCAAGCGCTAGATAAACAAATGCATCTACGTTTAATTGATTTTATAACAGGCCCCTGCACAATAAAAGCAATTTTGGGCAAGCGTTTTTACACTCCTGTGCAAAGGACCATATGTAGCCAAATATCGTGTTATTGTTATTCATTGCATGCGAGCTGTTTTTTCCAGAATATATTAATTCTATATGGGTTGTTACTATCACGTACGTTCATGATCCCAACACTTTGAATATTTAACGTAACTCATTAGTGACGTAGTCCAATGATAAAATAGAATTTATAAATTAAACGAAACTTACATGTAATATGAAGTTTTATTGTAATTCTAAGAGTTATTGGACAAGGAAACTAAGGAGTCACCAACCCACATTAAAACCATAATGACCAACTTGGTTTGTTTTCCCACTTTATGGGATTTTTTCGTTATGTTGGTATTACTCGCAGCGTTAAAGTCTAGACACTTGATCTGCGTGCGCATATCTCACGTGACGCCTTACTTTCTTTGTTAAATAGCTTATAGACTTACAATCAAACTTCAACTTACAGGTAAGTCTCGTTTAGTTTCCAAATCTACACATAAAATATAGTAGTCACAATTTTTTTTGTTTCTTTGATTTCAGGAGGTAATATGTTAAAATCGGTGAATAAAAAATATTGCTATTTCCTTTTATAAGGTCTTGGATTGTTTCTAGTCATCATTGTCTTGTTGCCAGAGTAACTGTTGTCAAGGTTATTCAAATATTCAAATTAATCTTTAAGACAGATGATCTTTACGATGCATGCAGTAAAAATACTTTAAAATATTGATTTAAAACGTACTCTTGTATAATAAATTTCATTTTTATAGTTTGTTGTTAAAATTAATGGATACTTTTTAATCAAATGAAAATAGTCTTAATACTCATAGTATTACTTATGAAATGATTGAAAATTCTTTTACACGTCGACACTTTAACTTCTATTTGTATTACGTACAGTGATTATAGTACAAAACTGTTGATCGACTCTCTGAAAAAATCTGTAAAAGCTTAGAGTAAGGAATCCTACTATATATACACAATTACGGTAGCCAATCCTGTTGATTTTTTGTATGGAAACTGCGCCGTTATTACTTTTCTGTCTTTGCGTAATTAGCTTAGCATCATGACTAAATCAAAATCACAGAAAGATCTGTCTGAGATAATAATTCATGAGATATGTGTCTGAGATAATAATTCAAGTTACTACAAGAAAACATTTGGAATAGAGATCGTCAGCTAGTCAGGATTCGGATGACATTTTGATTTATCTAAAATAGCCTCTGCTTTTATTTATTCTCAAAAACCAGGACCAGTTATCCAATGTTTTTTCAATTTTTTTGGGCAATCCCTGGACAAGAGCAGCAAACCACTAAATGTTGTTTAAACATTGTGAATTCTACCTATCTGTATCTTCGGTCACGGTCGGATGTATAAACAATGGCGAGGAGTGCAATTCTGGCAGTTTTCAGTTTTTTGTAACCAGCATCTTCATGGGTAGAGTGAAGTATGGGTATAGTTGTCTGAAAAAAGAATCAATTTACAAGACTCCCCTTTGACAGTGCTCTTAATACTTTACATAACATGTCTAAAAATATAATAATTATTTTACGATTTACATTTCTAATGTGGTGCATTACGGTTGATTGGATGACAGATTGCTTGTAATAATTTTCGATAAATATAATCATTGAGCAAGCAAGAAATAGTAAATTTAGCCCAATTTTGGTCAGCAGGTGTGTATGCATGCGTTTTCAATCTCATAGTTAAAAAGCTTTGTCATCTTGTGACAGATTTGCGACAGGTGCTTGATATTTGTTCACCAAAAAAGAATATATAATTGTAATTTGCATGAAAAAACAGTTGCACTATTTATAGCCGTTGGATGTTTAGTTACTCTCTTCAACTTTAACGTGAGGAACAAACTTGGTTTGGATATCTTGAGCTAGCAAAGAAAATTAACAAAAAAACAAACGAAATATCGGTTTGTATTGTGGATAGCAGCAAATTATGGATTCTTCTTTAAATGAGTCAAATCATTTCTGTTTTATTCATGAGACTGCTTTTATTGTTCTTTCCAATACCCCAAACATTGGGTTATACTTCAACTATGTACTTGCTTTAGCAGTAGTTCTTTTATTTACATTGCTTACCATTACTTTAAATCTTGTCACCGTCTTAACTTTTCTATCATCCAGTCATCTGAAAAGGAATACACTTATTTCCTAGTTTTTCTTCAGTCAATTGTTGATCTCATAAATGGGACATTGGTTAATATTTTGTTCTTCTTAACAGTCTTACCATCAGTCTCGAACTTCAGTGTGAATTGCAATTTATTTCATGCTAACCTTATTATCCACTATATATACTTAGGTTCTTCTGTGTCTGTTCTGTCTTGCATGAATATTGAAAGGTTTTTGAGCATCGTATTTCATGTATACCATCGAAACAAAGTCACAAGAGAGAGGTTAATGGCTTACATCTGTACAAGTTGGTTAATGTGTTTCTCTGTATGCGTGATGGGCACTTTAATTAAGAAAGTGCAAGTTATTCAATTCTTTTTTGCCATTCTATCTCTATTTCATTGTGTTGGCACAATTTTTGCCTATGTTAAGATATTTTCCGTTGCAAGACAGTCTGTTTTGCAAAAAAACATTAAAAAGTCTTTGGACGAGAAAAGAATTACTAATTCAAATATTTGCAACGAACGCTCAAGAAATAAAACTACTGCATCTCCACTTTTTCGAAAGAAGAACTTTCCTTCAGCTAATACATTTCGTAATAACTGCATGGGCCAAAACGAAATTCAAAGTATCCGAGAAACGTTTGGCAAGATTACAGCTTTTGAAGAAAAAAAAATTGACAAAGCGGGCCTTCCTTCTTCAAAAAAAGCGACAGGAGGAAAGCAAGGTATTGTACTTAAAAATGAGCAATTTTATCAATCATCGTTGCAGTTAAAAATAATGAAGTTCAATGGATCAGTACAGAAAGTTTGAGGCCACGTTAGGGACAAAAAAATTTTGTGCAATATTAAGCTGTATATATATATATTTCACAATTTTACTATGGTGATAGTCGGGAGGGCACATTGTATATACACTTTGTATATAAATAATATAGTTAATATACACATTGTACATATATAATATTTAAAAGATAAAGATTCTCCGGATTTTAAATGATTTTTATTGAGCTTTCGACTCGTTACTTTGAGCCTTCATCA